TGATTGTGTAATAGATAGATATATATATATATATAAATATTTATGTGTTTGTGTAATCGTACGCAGAGATATCGCTGCTATATGACGGTAGTTTGCAAATATATACATATATATACACGCATTGTTGTAGGGGTCATTGCTGCCTTTCACTTTTCAGATGTTGGTGTGTATATATGACGCTTTTGGCGCCGACTAGCTTCATTTGGCTCATATCTTGGAACCCACAGCGCGAACACTTGCACCCTTTGAAGATGTTGAATACCTCTCGCACACAAATACGTACAAATAAACATACGACTGACTGCCTTGCGACTATCTGTGCATTACCATAGGATTCTGGGTGGAGTACATGGCAATGAACTCGTGGTATGTCATTGAGATCTGAGAAGTGTATCTCAATAAATGGGTTTACAATTTCAACGGCGTGACACTCTTTTTCCTCTTCCTAATATTTACCAAGAGTTTATGCATGTAAATAAATATATAAACGTAAGCTCCACGCATACACGTATATATATGTTGTACAGGGCATACGATTAAACGCATCAATATCTTGGGTACACAATCAAATCTGTATTACAAATATATTCTACGTATCTAGTACGTTGCGGTGTACGATTGTACATAGGGGAACTGCTGATAGTAACACTCTCAATCCATAGGCAAACATGTCTTGGTATCGAAATTGTACAGTGTGCAGCATACTCGAGCTAGGCCTGGTTACGTTAATATACCAGACTTATCATTGGGAGTCTGACACACACGTATGCAGTCCATCTGTTGTATGCCAGTCTGTACACAAAGCTATACACTTGAGGAGTGTGAGAGTATAAACTGAGCGCAGACATTCTGATTTATAGACTACTATTCGGTACTCGCAGAACTAACTGATGAGAGGAGTTTAAGCATAGCTAAAGTGTGCGGGTGCATTGCATCTAGGTCTGTGAACCGTGTACTAGTCCTCGGGGGGTGTCCTGGAGATTTTATATATTTCAATACCAGAAAGCCGGCTGCGATACTGACTGAGATCGCAAACGATCCCATGAAGAGTCGTGTTGCTGTATTGGACAGAGAAGCGTGATGGTGTGCATCCTACAATCATATGTACATTTATACACACTGCTTTTATTCATACCCGCATATGTTGTTCACAAATTTAGGAAAGAGAGACGACTTACATTATTTTCTTGGATGTAGGGTGTGGATGTCGTGAAAAAGCTGGTGGAAACGCTCTTTGAGAGTGGTCAGACGCCTAAAGCAGGTAAAGTAATCAGCGTATAGTGTCTGGTCGTGGTTATTTGTTTGTGCAAATATCGAGGTAGTTACACTCTTATCTCACCTAAGCTGACAGTATCTAATATTATTCAGCGCGAATGCGTGTGTGCCTATAGGCATCTGGGTATACTGTAAATACTGCCGTGCCACGGCTACAATAAACGTTTGTACTATGTATGCTCTATCTGTTTCTATGTGTCAACAGTTTGCACTATTCGAATAAATGGGTCGTTTCCTAAGGCGAATGACGAGATTTAATTACTTTATTTTCTCTATTACTCAAAACAAAGGACTGGGACTGTTACTATCGAATACATGTTTACATACACTATCCAGTACATGTTTACATACTACCGCTTTTGATGCCGTCCCTACAGACACACTCATTGCCAGGCCATTCTACTAATAGTATTCAAAGTCACTGTTCTTATTGGTTCTAAACATCACAAAAAATCGGCTGGTTGTTGACCAGGGTCCTTGGTGTTGGCACTGGGCAATCCGAAGGGCATCAAACTAAACCAACGCTACGTAGAGAGCGATCTGAATAGGTGAGTAGCCTGACATACTACTGTATTGCTAATAGTACTCCATGCCTAGTGCTATTATACGAACAGGGACTAAGCTGCAGCTTGTTCTGACCGATATTGCGCGCACTCGGACCCCAATCAGCCTCGTGCACTGGGAACACTGTCAGCGTGCACACACACCAAGAGGCTGTTTGCCTATGATCAGATGTACACAGCTTACTTTCTCGAAAAAGTGTTGTTTCATGCTTTTCTATTTTTAGACATAGAATATATATATATATATATATATGAGGTCCGGCAGCTTATATGTCGATTTCTTGGTTGCAAATTGTTACTTGGAAAGCCCGATAGCCTTTGTAGTTTATCAGCATTGCTCATAAAACTCAACAACCTACTCATGCACACAACTATCCCGCACTCAGGTGTTTCAATCCGGACGATCTCAGCAAACCGCTCGCTGATAATGCCACGTACGAAGAGAAACGCTCCCGAGACTTCGCAGAGTTCGTTGCAGAAGCGCATGTTCTGATTGATGTCCACGCCACACTCAAACCGTCAGACCCATTCGTGAGAATCGGGGGTGTGTATGCACAACGAAACAGACCTGTGTGCGAGTGAGTGGGTGTATGCGCGCGAGTCCATACTTCCCGTGATGTGATTATGTACATGTCATTGGACGCTGTAAATTGTTGTTTGTAGCGTGCAAAATCACCTTGGCACCGAAGGCAAAGTTAGCACGATTTGTGCGAATACCACGTGTATGCTAATTCATCTGTTCTTCTGTTTCGCTCAACTGTGGGATGCCAGGCGTGAAAGATCTCAATCTGAACCACGAAGAAATCCTGGACGAGCTTATTGGGTATGTAAACGTAGTACACGAAACATGCTAGACTTAGCTGTCTGGCTATGCTTGGGCGGTTAGATCCGGGACCGACTCGTCGATTTAGAGTCGGCTGGCTACGTTTGAGCGGTGTCTGCTTTGTTGACCTGTATCACATAAGAAGTGGTTCAATGTACACGAATAGGTAAATGAAAAACCTGTGCAAGTGTTTGTCTGACAATGTTTGAGTGGTGACTGTTTTGTTGACCTATATCACATATGAAGTGATCCGATTCGCACTGATAGGTATATTGAATATCCTGTACAAGCGTTCGTCTGGCTTTGTTTGAGCCGTGTCGTGGTATTGCGCTATTTGTTGACCTATATCACAAAGGTAAGTGGTTCGATGCGCACTGACAGGTATATATATAATAATCTGTGCACGCGTTCGCCTGGTTATGTTTGAGTGGTGACCGATCTGCTGGCCTATATCACATAAAATATGTTCGATGCGCACGGATTGGTATGTTGAATAATCTGTGCAAGTACTCAATTTAGGTGGATCAAACACCGTGTATATACCAATTGGTTTGTGGAAATGGTTTCATTTTATTCCACCTAACATCACATGCATACGCCTCTACTTGTGGTCGCGAACTATATCACGCTGTTGACGGATCGATGAAGTAGTACAGGTGTATCCAATTGATAAACCACCGTGTATGGATAAAAGTTGTCGGTGTTGATGTTTTTGTATTCTATTCTACCCAATAACATCATTTGCATACGCCGCTACTGGCAGTCTTGAGCTATAGCACGCAGCTATCGGATCAATGAAGCTGTGTAGGTACTATATTCCAATTGGTTGTCTAAGACAACATGTACGTTCAAGCAGTATGCCCCTTCTTTATGTGCACAGAGAATCACACGCGTACAACCGCTACTTCCTGGTTTTTAATCACAGCACGCCACCTCTTGACATGTACTATACATTTATGTTGTCTAGTAAAGCCTTTCTTCAAATTATACTTAACGCCATGCGCGTACACCGCTACTTTCTGGTTGCCAGTTGTAATAATGCTGCAAAATATATGACTTATGTTGTGCAATCAAGCTTTTCTGCTAACTCTACATAACACCGCGCGAATACACCGGCAACTCCTGATTTTCACTTGTTGCACACATACTATATAGCTATATAGCTCATTTGTCTAAACAAGCTGTTCTTCTAACTTAATGTACACCGCTACCTCCTGATTCTCAGTTGCAACACACTGTTATTGGATCCGCTCAATCTGATTGGCATGGGCCGACCGGTCTGCTCAGACGAGCTTCTAAGCTGTATGTGAACTATGAATCCGTTCTGTTATTGTCTATTCGGCGGTGTTGAAGCTGTTTGCAGTGAATATAAATCACATATAATTTGATTCCAAAAGATACACACACATATAACACACACACACACACATACATATGTATATATATACACACACACACACACACACACATACATACGTATATATATATATACACACACACACACACACACATATATATATTACACACACACACACACACATATA